CAAGTTCGCTGCCCGCAGTCCATCCACGCTCCTGCAACAGCTCCCTGGCCCTCTTGAACTTTCCCAAAATAATGGCATTGGCTAAGTCCGCGTCCTTTCTCCGCTCCGCTGCTACTATTCTACGCTTTTTCTAGCTGGTCGGGTAGTTGGGTCGGGCTGTGGAGATGTAGCACGGGGTCTAGCATGACCCATGCGAGCTCGGTCGGGATGCCCCAAACTGGCCCGGCCCGCCGCTCGCACGCGCGTTGGCAATAGCGTAGCATAGCCCTTTTGTCATCGGCAACCTGTCCCTGTAGTTCCGCGTCTATGGGCAGTCTGTCGACTGCTTCGGCCGTGTAGTCGCGATGCTGGGCTCGCTCGGATGCTCGGTCGACCGGAATCTCGGCTAGCCCCCCGCCCAGTGCTGATCGGCTAAATTATTCTAGCCAGTGCGCCGTGACCCAGTTTGTTGTTGGTGATAGGTAGCACCTCTGTTTCCGGCCACGTCCGTTCCGCTGGTGCTGGATTCGTAGTCGGTGCATGTCTTCGCAGTTGCGCTGCTGGCAGGCCTCCAAATTTTTCTCGACAACTTGCGCCCTTCTCTCTCTCTCTCTCTACCTTCTCTCTTACTGGTTTTAGGACAGCACTTAACTCATGCAGTTCGGCCTGTACCGCATCGCACTCGATCGCTGAGCTCTCGTCGGTCCGACGTGATCGCCACACTCGTCGTTGCTCGAGCAGTCGTAGTTGCTGTTGTTTGGCCCTGGTAGTGAGTTCGTCTAGTTCGTCGGTCGCATCCGTCTTCGCAAATGTGGTTAGCAGTGCCTTCCTTGCTGCGCCTCCTAGCAAGTCCCGAATAGTATCTGGAGTCGGTTCTGCGAGGGCCTCCTCCCGCCTGTCCCTGCCCGCCGCCCGCACCTCCTGGTTCCGCTGGTGCATCAGCTGGCCGCGCTTGTGCCTGCTGCGCAGGCGCTCCGTCAGCACATCCCTGCATAGTCCCCGCTGTAAGCGGGCGCGGGGTGGGAAGGCGGTGGTGGAGGCGGGGGCGAGGAGGGTGGGGCCAATTGGGACGTGTTCGCGATGGCCTCGCACTTTGGTCTTCTGTAGTCGTCTGCCTGACAGGTGAAATACTTCGCGCCGTCTTACTGGGGGAGACTACGTGCGTGACTAGCAATGTGGTCCACCCTGCTGGTGTACCCAGAGTGGCCGTAGCACGTAGCCCCGACGTGGTAGTGGGTGGTGACGATGCTGAGATCGCTGGTTTCGCACATTTCTCTGAAGCGGGTCCCGTTGTTCCCCGCGTGCTTCGTGGGGTTATGTCTTTCTTCCCTGCCGCGGCGCACCCGCGTCTCCTCACCTCCCCTCCTCCCTATTCTTCCTCTCCTCACCCGCGCTCAACACATGCGCGGCAAGTGCATGACACACGCGTCTACATACAGCCGCACGCATGCACACATTCGCACACAACACACACACACAAACACCATACAACGCTAGTGCGCGCCGGGCGTGTTCACTGCATCACACATCCACGACGTGTGCGCCACATAATGGGCACCCACATGAGACACGTCCCGATATGGCCGCTATGCACGACGGTCGTCCAGGCATAGCAAGCGTGGCACTTCCTCGACACCAGAGGGGGTGCGCCGGGGGTGGGGGCCCTATGCGTTTCGGGCTCGCAATGCGTGGCAGGCGTGGCACTTCCTCGACACCAGAGGGGTTGCGGTGGGAGTGGGGGCCCTATGCGTTTCGGGCTCGCAAAGCGTGGCAGGCGTGGCACTTCATCGACACCAGAGGGGGTGCGCTGGGGGTGGGGGCCTTATGCGTGTCGGGCTCGCAAAGCGTGGCAGGCGTGGCACTTCCTCGACACCAGATGGGGTGCGCTGGGAGTGGGGGCCCTATGCGTTTCGGGCTCGCAGAGTGGCACTTCCTCGACACCAGAGGGGGTGCGCTGGGGGTGGGGGCACTATGCGTTTCGGGCTCGCAGAGCGTGGCAGGCGTGGCACTTCCTCGACACCAGAGGGGGTGCGCTGGGGGTGGGGGGGCCCTATGCGTTTCGGGCCCGCAGAGCGTGGCAGGCGTGGCACTTCCTCGACACCAGAGCGGGTGCGCTGGGGGTGGGGGCCCTATGCGTTTCGGGCTCGCAAAGCGGCACTTCCTCGACACCAGAGGGGGTGCGCTGGGGGTGGGGGCCTTATGCGTTTCGGGCTCGCAAAGCGTGGCAGGCGTGGCATTTCCTCGACACCAGAGGGGGTGCGCTGGGGGCCTATGCGTTTCGGGCTCGCAGAGCGTGGCAGGCGTGGCACTTCCTCGACACCAGAGGGGGTGCGCTGGGGGTGGGGGCCCTATGCGTTTCGGGCTCGCAAAGCGTGGCAGGCTTGGCACTTCCTCGCCATCTCAGGGGGTGCGCGGGGGGTGGTCTCCCTATCCGTTCCGGATTCGTCAAGCGTGGCAGGCGTGGCACTTCCTCGACACCATAGGGGCTGCGCAGGAGGTGGTCCCTGAGCGCGGCCGCTATGCACGACGGTCGTCCAGGGCATAGCAGGCGTGGCATTTTCTCGACGCCAGACGGAGTGCGCAGGGGGTGGTCCCTCACCGCGGCCGCTACGCGCGCCGGTCGTCCAGGGCATAGCAGGCGTGGTACTTTCTCGACACCATGGAGGGTGCGCAGGGGTTGGTCCCTCTTCACGGCCACTATGCACGACGGTCGTCCAGGGCATAGCAAGCGTGGCGCTTTCTCGACGCCAGGCGGGGTGCGCAGGGGGTGCTCCCTCACCGCGGCCGCTATGCGCGCCGGTCGTCCAGGTCACCGGGCTCGCAAAGTGTGGCTGGCGCGGCGCTTCTCCCTTCCACCTCTCCTCTTGAGTGGCGTCACCAACGGTATCGGCGGGGCAACGGCCACCAACATCATCCTCACATGCTTCACTTCCGTTATCATCACTCCAGCCATAATATAAGTATGTGGGGTTCATTGTTCTCTACCTTGGGTTGGTGGGGGCCCACTGTGGGGCCCTCACTGCAAACAATGGAACCGTCTAGTTCCCTATGGCAGCCGAAATTGCTGTTGACGTCGCCCCCAGGTACTACTGTAGTGCGGCATCCGAGTTTATCTGTACGTTCTTCCAACCAGTGGGTAAGACTGTCAGCCAGCAGAGATTAATACCGCTCATGGGTCGGGGCGTAATAGCAGACTCAGAAGCCGTAGTCGTAGCGGGTCGTAATTAGTCGGACTCCTGCCGCACGTCCCTGGAGGTAGTTGGCTGGGGTGTAGATTTCGCGGGTGGCTCTCTCCTCTATGCTGTGGCTTATTACTATGGCCGTTCCACAGCTTTTGTTGGCCCACTCCCCTTTCCGGGCCCCAAACTGTAGGACGGTGTGGGAGGGGATGTAGTTACGTTGCACAGCCTCTGGTCCTGCACAACGACACGTGCCACTGAGTAGTATGACGTCCCAACTGTGGAACTCAGCACTAATATCTTCCAATCCTTCCAGTGTGCCGGCCTCCAGTGGGCTGTAGTAGCACATTCTCATCGTACGATGGTGACGGACGCCGCCATGAGGCCCCCCAGTCTCCCTGCTCCCGGAGCCTGTGGTCTGGGGGCGCAACGGTGCTGCTCTACAGTTGTACGTGAGGTACGGTCGGTATGCTTTGTGACCCCCCTTTGCAGCGACCTAGGAGGAGGAGGAGGAGGAGGAGGAGGAGGAGGAGGAGGAGGAGGAGGAGGAGGAGGAGGGGGAGGGAGGAGGAGGGAGGAGGAGGAGGAGGAGGAGAGGAGGAGGAGGAGGTGGAGGAGGAGGTGGAGGAGGACGAGGACGAGGAGGAGGAGGAGGAGGAGGAGGAGGAGGAGGAGAAGGAAGAGGAGGGGAGGATGGCGGCCAGCTCAGCCAGCCGCCGCCGGCCCCCAGAGCCCGACCGAGGCAGCCACTTCGGAGGGGGCAGGCAGCGGCCCACGCGCCACCAGCGCTGCGAGCCGCGCGGCGCGTCCGCCGCGCTGGGAAAACGGCATGGTGGCCAACCTGCCCGGCCCGCCTCTGGTGCGCGCCGCCAGTCACACTGCGGCGGCGCGGCGCCCACCTCGGTGGCGCCGCACGGCGGCGACGGCGTGACGTCTTCCAGGCCCACAGCGGGAACCCAAAGTGGTCAAGTCTCCGCCCTGGCGCCCCCACGGCTGCCCGCGCGGCCCGGCCCAGCGGCGGCCGCCCGTGTGGCTTCGCTGGAGGGCGCGGTGCGCTCGGCGGCGCCGGCGGGCCTGGGGCGGGAACCCAGAGTGGTCAAGTCTCCGCCCTGCCCAGCAGCTTTCCCAGCCCGGCTGGGGGCAGACGGCGGCGCCGCCTCCGTCTCGCTGATGGGACTCTCGACCGTGCAGGTTGGGTCCCCAGGGACACGGGACGGGCTGGGATGGCAGTATCCAGGGGCAGCCACGCACGCCAACGGTGCGCCTACACCGAGTTGCATCGAACGGTTCGGCCGGCGTGGCAGATGTGCTCATGCAGCTCGGCATCCTCGTACGCCGCCGTCTCCACGCCGAAGGCGGCTCTGCACGGGGAAAAACAACGTGGCTCAGCCGATCTCGCTGCAGCGGAGGCCCCCTAGAGCAGGTCACTCCTGAGCAAGAAGAAGAATAATCGTCTCGTCCTGCTACACTTCGGGCGCGTTGGGTAGCACATCGTGTCTTGGGTCCGCGGCCCTCCTTGCCGCACATATCAGCCCGATTGCCCAGGAGAGCCTACTCGGAGATCAAAAGCGCTAGCTCCGCCTGGCGCCTGCGGCCCCTCGTACTGCCTTGGCTACCCAAGGGGCGCGCCGAATTTTGCCTAGCTTGCCGCTGAGGCATGCTGCGGAGCTCCTCGGTGGCAACGGCCCCATGCTCGCGCAAGTCGCCGCGACTCGTGTGCTGCAGGGCCATACGATTTTTCCTTGGCTCATCTGCCCCGAGACTTCAAGCAGGGAGGAGGGGAAGGTTAGGTGAAGAAAAAAACCCTCCCCTCCTCCACTTTCCGCGCCAGAGCCAGAGCGCGTGATGTCCTGGCCAGCTCCCCCGCCACAGCCCGCAGGGACGGCTCGTCCGCCGCCACGCGCGAGGCGAAGCCGAAGCGCAACGCCTCCAGTCGCCGTCGTCGTCGGTTGTCGTCGCCGTCGTCGTCGTCGTCGCCGCCGCCGCCGTCGTCTTCGTCGTCGTCGTCGTCGTCGTCGTCGCAGTCGTCGCCTCCGCCGCCGCCGCCACCGACGTCGTCGTCGTCGTCGTCGTCGTCGTTGTCGTCGTAGTCGTTGTCATCTTCGCCGTCTTCATCGAGGGGTGTCGTCGTGAAGGATCGTCGTCACAGGGGATCGTAGTGGTCGTCGTCGAGGGTCGTCGTCGTCGTCGTCGTCGTCGTCGCCTGAGGAGGAGCCAGATCACTTCGTCGGCGGAATTTGCTAGGTTCTTGCAGGATTTCGGGCCCAGGGTGCTTTCTAACAGTTGCGCGCCTCGTGCAGAATTCGGAGGTCCTCGGGCGGCTTCCCGAGTTACTGGGGACTCTCGTAGCCTGTCCACAGCAGCCGCGCCTCGTCGGGAGCCTTCCGGGGACGTCGGAGTCGTCCCAGACGGTCTTCTGGCCCGGCGCCACAGAAGCGAGACATCCAGCCTCTTTGAAAATCTGCCAGCCCCTTGGGGTTCATGAGCGTGCGAAATGTTTCCCCCTCCCCAAACCCCAATCCCTCAAGAGCCCCAAAACAGGCCAAGAGGGCACCAAGAGGCCATCTGGACGGTCCAAGAAGGCCACGAGCCACCGAAAGATCGATTGAAAACGCCAATGCTGGCCTCTGGACGGCCAACGAGGCCACCAAGGCGCCCCAAGAAGTCCCAAGAGGCGTCCCAATACGGCCTCAAAGAGCAAACATCGCCCCTTGTCCATGAGAGAAGCTGCGTGTTTAGCACGTCGGCCTCTTCTGCGATCACAACATTCGAGACTACCCTAGAAGCCTCCTGGGTCGCCCCAAGACGGCCCAAGAGACCCCCAGAGGGCTCTCAGACGACCCAAACAAGGGGAAGCAGAGCCCCAAAACAGGCCAAGAAGGCACCAAGGGGCCATCTGGACAGTCCAAAGAGGGCCACGACCACCGACAAAATCAATCGGAAAAGCCCACGCTGGCCTCCAGACGGCCCACGAGGCCACCAAGGCGCCCCAAGAAGCCCTCAAGAGGCGTCCCAAGGCGGCCTCAAAAAGCAAGATTCGCCCAACATCAATTGGAAAGCCCGCATTTGTAGCACACGCGCCCCTTCTGCGGTCACAATATCCGAAACAGCGCAGAAGGCCTCCTGGGCCGCCCCAAGACGGCCCAGACGACCCTGACGGGGGGATAGAGGTCACCAAAACAGGCCAAGAGGGCACCAAGAGGCCCTCTGTACGGTCTTAGAGGGCCACGAGCCGCCGAAAGATCGATTGAAAACGCCCACGCTGGCTTCCAGACGGCCCAGGAGGCCCCCACGACGCTTCAAGAAGCCCTCAAGAGGTGTCCCAAGACGCCATCGACGTGCAAAGCTCGGCCCATCTTCATGGGAAAGCCCATAATGTTTTAGCACGTTCGCCTCTGTTCCGGTCACAGCATCCAAGGCAGCCCAAGAAGCCTCCTGGGTCGCCCCAAGACGGCCTCAGAGGCCCTCCAGAGGGCTTTCAGACGATCCGAAACGGCTCCAAGACCGATCAGACAAAAACCGATGACGGCCCAGGATGACCCCGCGACAGCCCCAACAAGAGGCCCAGAGGGGCAAACTACACGGACACTTCGAGCCTTTTGCCCCGAACCGCCGCCCGGTTGTCCCAATGAACCCCTGACAGACTCCCAGGGAGCTCCGCGCGGCCCCAGAACAAGTCCTCTCCTCAGAGGCCCCCAGGAAACCCCCAAGAGGTTCAACAACTGCTGACAAAACGCACCCGAAACGCCTCCCACGAGACCCCGTCCGCCATCCGCGCGGCCTCCGAACCGCGACCCAGTCGCGTGTGGCGGGATGTGCCGAAGGCAAGTCGATAATCGCTCCTCTGGGCTTTGAACATCTGCTCGTCGTAAGTACACGTGGGTTCTCGCCAATTCCCCTGTGCGTACACGGCGAACATTGAACAGGTTTGCCGCAGAAAGAGCTATTGCCGATGCTGTGCCACGATTGCCGTGGGACCTGGGGGCATTGTTGGCAAGCACGCGGCAAATCGTCCAACAGGGCCCCGACGAGCACCACAACTCGCTCCGACACCCACACGAGGGCTCCAAAACGTTTTTTCTGACAGATGCCCGCGGGATGTACACCTGGGTCTCGACCGTGTCCCCACTCCTGTTCTCGCGCAGCAGAGCGGCCCAAACAGAGCGCCAACAAAGTCCAAAACAGCGCCGAGATGGCCGAAAGTAGCCCAACGACGATCCAATACGGCATCGAGACGGCACTCGACCCGCCCAAGACGGACCAGGAATTAGCCAGTGGTACATCAGGGGCATGAGTTTTTGTTTTCCTACGCGCACTTCAAATAGAGGTACAGTTCCTAATATAATCGACATGGCCCGAAGACTGGTCCACGGGCATTCCACTCTCGTCCCATGAGGTCTTTTCGACCTCCTTTCCCCTTAACCACCTCCTCGACAAGCTTCTCCTGAACATCATCCCGACCACGCGTTCGAGGCGAGCTCAGATCCTGCGACGAAAGCCCTCTCGCGGCCTACACGAATCCAATAATTACGCCCGCAAGCGACATCCCAACAGCCCTATGAGCGTCGGTGGGTTAGGGGGAGCCTCTCGTCCAACCCCCTTCATCCCCTTCGGAAAATGATCTACCCCTGCTCCGTATTCAGACACCCGCCCCCTCGACCGACGGCCGACCCGAAGCAAAGACAACTCCCCCAACCGTCACGGTCATCACAATGATTACCAGACGAAGTGCACTAGGCGACATAACCTGGATCGCCTTCGGGTGTCTTGCCATCAACGTATTTATATCGATAGGTTAAGCGACGGCACGAGGGCAGCAAATTACCCTCCTGTGTGCAGGCCCACCATACCTCAGGAAAAAACAACTGCAATATGCACGTGGCGGTCATATCCCCCGACCTCTTGGGAGGTCCTCAGCGTATGAGATGCTTACCCCTCCCCCGACCCCTCCACCCTCCCCCGGGCCCGGCCCCACCGCATGAGGGGAGGGTAGAGGCCCTCACAACGAGCCCATGCGCCTCAAGAGACCCCCAAGACTGTCCAAGAGGGCTCCCAGTCGCCGACGGATGCGCCAGGACAGCCAAGTAGCCTCCAGACGAACTAAGACGCCTCCAACACGCCCCAAGACCTCCAAGAGCCCTCCCAAGAGTGCCCCACGAGCCAACACTCATTCATGTCCAGAGCGAACGAAATTGGCGTTCTCGCCGTTTCGGTTTCCCGACGCTCCGCGACGGCCCAAGAGGCTCCCCAAATCCCCCCAGACGGCCCCAGAGGCCTCTAAGAGAGCCCCTAAACAGGCAAAGAGAGCCCCCACACGGCCCCAAGACTGCCTCAGTGGCCTCCGGCATGGCCCAAAAGACCGCCTAGACCGCCGCGCGAAGGGCCCCGGAGGGGAACCCGAGCCTGCGTGCATTTCGAGCCATCGGCCCCCCGACACCCGTCAGAACCCTCCACGCAGCTCCAAGAGGCCCCATGGGCCTCCACGAAGCGCCCCAAAGGGCACCTAGAAGCCCCGCACAGGCGCCCACGAGACTCTCAGGAGCAACCCGCAACAACCGCCAGTTCCCCGAGGGCTCGGCGGTGTGGCGCAAGCCCAAATCAATGAGGCGATACATTCAAGATTTGGGGCTCCAGGTGCCCATGTCGGGTCCAGGGGCCGACAAAAAACAAACCATAAGGCGAAGCACGTACGAAAGATGGGGTCGAGAGCTCCAGCGCACAACGGACTGAACAATAGCAGCACTTGTGATTAGGCGGCTCATGTTTACTTACCAGCGTGTCATTCAACATGTCTACCTCGAACCCTTTACTCCCACCCTCTTCGTCTATGAACGTACCCCGTTTGGGGGGACTCCGTTAGTCATGTCAACCACTGGGTGAACCCCGACAGGCCAAGTGAGACAGACGGGCCGGGCAGGCGGACCCTAACGAAAGGTTCGGGCGGGCAGGGTACTTCATTACCCTTACCCTGCGTACTCTCTCTCTCTCTCTCTGGCTAATTTTGTTGCGTGCAATCCATACCCAAGGTCTGTGCGTCAATGTGCGGGTCCAAGGGTACATAGTAAAAGGTGCATTGCCTGTGGGATCCATACATCGCATGTGTCATCCAGGTTGTACTGTTGTCGTAGCCAAGCTTCATCGTTGTATGCCCATACATGGTCACCGCTGGTCGGCACGAACTGTGCAAACCCTCCTTCGTGTCGTGGTATCTCGGCACTCGTTGCAGCTCCCGTAGGTCTTGGCTGCTTGCCCCGTAGACGTCTTTGGATCGTGGTCGGCACAGTCGGAGGTGGGGAGGGAACCTCCTCCTCCTCCTCCTCCTCCTCCTCCTCCTCCTCTTCGGTAGAGCCGGGGAGTCCTCGAAGCACTTGGGGTGGCTAGGGCATCCCCCGCCTGTGCGCAGCAGGGGGGGCGGCGGCTGCTGGTTGAGCCTGGGCCCCAGGGTAGACATATCCCTGAGGAGGGCGCCCACCACCCTATGATGGGCTGGCGGTGGGCGCCCAGGGAGCTGGTCGCATTTCGCCCAGGAGCTGAGCCCTCCCGCCCACGCGCGCTTCGCGGGGGGGAGGTGCGCCCTGGCCGCCTTGACTGCGCAACGGTCCCAAACTTTTCGCTTGTCTGTCGGCCACCGTCGGCGCCTCCGCGCCCGCTGCGACCGGCTCCTCCTCGCTTTTCCTCCTTCATCTTGGCAGTCCCGACATGTTGAGGTGACAGACCGCGCGGTGACCTCGAGATCCCGAAGGATCTCACCGCACGGTCCATCACCGCATGGTTTTGGGACCCTGGAGGCTTTGTTCGCCTGAAACATTCACGGAGAACGCCCCAAGTCCCAACACCGTGTTATGTATGGTTCCGAATCCCCACTGACTCACCACACGGCGTGGTCACCACACCGTTTGGGGGGCCCGGGTGACCCTCCTCCCTCAGCTCCTCGTCCCTCCCGGCATCAGGCCGCCAAGCGATGCTCCCCCGTTCACCAGGACCCCGCTCCCCATGAGGGCTGAAGTGTTGGAGGCCCGCTCGCGGCAGGAGGGCCCCCCCGAGGCAATCTGCTTACATTATAACACGCATGTGGGCACGCTGGCCAATCTGTCGTGATGTGTCGTTCCCTGTTGTCGATCCTGACACGGCTGATTGCAACGTCGGGCCTTTCTAGCTTCCATAGCTAGCCCGCACAGGCCTTCTCCCGTTTAACCCCCCTTCCCGTTACTGCTGGCTCGGTGGGGTTTGGTTATGACTGTCCTCCTCCTCCTCCTCCTCCTCCTCTTCCTGCTCCTCCTCCTCCTCCTCCTCCTCCTCCTCCACCTCTTCCTCTATTCCATTTCCTTATAAAGAACGTCCCCCTGTCGCACCCCGAGGCCGGTCGAAAGGGCGGGCCGGGCCTTTCGCTTGAGCCTTACTCACAATATATGACCCTGAAGCATAACAGTTTGCAACAGTTTTGCAGATGGAGGGCGGTCTGTTTTCCAAATGTGGCTCTCGCAAAGCGCCGCGCACATTCGTTTAACACAATTGCAAGAGCTTCACGGATTGAGGGCGGGTGGTTTTCAACATGTGCCTCTCGCCTTAGCGCCGCGCATATTCGCTTCGAACATTTGCAAGAGTTTCAAGGATTGAGGGCGGCTGGTATTCAAAACGTTGTTCTCGCCTTAGCGCCGCGCATATTCGTTCAAAACATGTCAAGAGTTTCACGGATTGAGGGCGGGTGGTTTTCAAAATGTGGCTCTCGCCTTGGCGCCGCGCGCATTCCGAGTTAGAAATTTCAAAAGCTTCACGGATTCTTCCCATGGTCAACACCGCGAATCAACGGATTATGAGGGCGCAACGCTTACGTTGGTTCGCGGTGTTGAAGTCCCAGGAATGGCGTTCCGGCGCGATGCAGGATCGTCCAGACGCAACAGTCAGGTTGATCCGTGGCGTTAGTCCCGAGAATCATGTTTTGGCATGCTTCAGGGTCTTCGATCGGTTGTCTTGCAGTTGATGACTCTTGGCTTACACTGGTCCCCCTCCTCCTCGTCCTCTCGTGGGAGGCGGCAGCGGAGGAGCCGCGACCAGCCGCAGAGGGCGGCCCAGGAGAGGGCGCCTCCTCGGCGCTGAACGGTCGGCCCGTGAACGCGAGCTCGCGGACCCAGCCTCGGCGCCGAAGGGGCATCCCAGACCCCCTCGCTTTTTTTGAAAAAGTCACGGCTTTTGCTAACATTTCAGCCTCTGGGGGCGCTTACCACGCCTTGGGACCCTCCAAAAACGACTCGGGCTGAAAAACCAATCCCAGCGAAGGTGTCCAGACTTCTGGGGTTCGACGTTGCGAGAAAATCATGACGTCGGGGATCTGGGATGGCAGCTCCCAGGCTGCGACTCCGATGCCCGGACCGGCCGAGGCCACGAGGCCAAGTCGACCGCCCCCCTCCACGGGGGAGGGGTGGGCGTGGAAGGGAGAGGGCGGAACTGCTACATGCATTGCATGATGATGGGCATCCCCTATAAGCGAGGCCTCTAGCAAGGGCGCGCATGGAAGGAAGCGAACGGGTGCACAGGAATGACCCATCTGCTCGCACGTCGTCTAGACCTTGACGCCCACTGACCCGCGCGTGCATGTTGCTATACAGGGTGGTGTACGCATGCACAATGTCTGCCTTCTAACAACACCACGTCGCATGAAGCTAGCTCGTTCGATGTGTCGTCGCGCCGCACGGGTGATGGTGGCCAAGGGTTGTACTAACCCAGCAAAACACTACAATAGCACCAAAGGTTCAGAGGCGGGTCGAGGAGTAGGAGGTCGGCTGTAGGAGACAGGGGGGAGAGCACGGCCAAGTGAACCGTAGTGCATGGTTTGCAAAGGATCGTGGCCGACTGGTCCAAAAATGTAACCCACATCGAGGCGATAGCAAGATCCCTGACCAAATTATGAGGAAGTCTCAGGAGAAACAGCTGCCAGACCTTACGGCCAGGGGATCCCCGTCCCCCCTGTGGGACTCTTCTGCAGTCCTTGTTCACTACTCTTAGAACCATCTGGCGAAACTCTATGGTGGAAAGACGGTGTCAGCAAAGACACGCGCGAAATATACATCAGAGAGGAAGCGATCAGTCAGCACACGCATGCAATGAGCCACCCTGCAAGGGGGAAGTGCAGCATCCTCGGTTCCTCAGCTAATGTGGTTCCTGCCTGGGACCGCTCGCCCGTACGTCCTGCGTCGGCTGAGGTGGCGGCTGAGCAGGCTCAGCAGGGGGAGGATAAGGAGGGGATAAGGACGAGGTGGAACGACGAGGTGGGCGGAGAAAGAAGGACGAGAATCCGCGAATTACGAAAGATTGGCTGGCAAGGGGAAGAGATCTCCCACACTGCAGGTCCCTTGTGGTCCTCAGTCCTTAGTTCTCAAAGTTGAATGTTAAAGGGCCCAGGTTCAATTATTTCCAACAAGTTCCCAGCGTGACTCCCGCGGTTCCCCAGCGCTTCCCGCATGCTTTTTGTTCGGAGCCGAGAGCGCCCCACAACGGGCCAAGAGGGCCCCGAGACAGGCACGCGGGCGGGATGGGCCGAAGGCCAGAAGAATCGAGGAGGAAACTGGCGAAGCTCGCACAAGTGATTGGGTCCCGAGCCGTAGAGACTGTTCTCTGGCTCATCCGCCTCTTCCATCCTCTTTCCATCCCCCTCTTCCTCTTCCACCCAACACTTCCCTCTCCAGTCTCTCGCACAAGATTACGACCTACCGACACTTCGCGGAGAATCCCAGACAGTCGCCACAAAACGTGCGCTTCTATCAGCAGCTGCACTAAGCTGTGGTGGCAGGCGTCAGGGCAAACGGACCGCCTGCCCCAACGAATCCCGCCCACCTTGCGACCTGCGACCGCAGCGACCGCGTGCGGAGACCGCGTGACCAGCGGACTCTGAGGCCCGAGCTCATGTTTCCCGATATCATTGGCACACGGTGAAGTGAGCCGAGGTCAGCAGCGAGGCCAACGTCAACCTCCTTGATGGAGAACTTCGCGTCCTCCGAACAATACCGTATGTCGCAGGCCGCCGCAAGGTCTACTCCGGCCCCTACGCAGGCGCCGTGGACGCAGGCGATGGTCACCTGCGGGAGCTTTGCGAGCAGGTCGCAAGGCTTCTGGAAGCTATCGACAGCCGCGCGCATCTTCAGGGAGATCCTCGCCGCGTCATCACCCGTCGGCGTAATGGCGCTGGTCGCCTCGCCGAAGTCCAGGCCGGCGCAGAAGTGCTTGCCCTCGCCACGCAGGACCAGGACGTAGGCCTCCGTGTCCTTCGCCAGAGACGTGAGGGTGTCGACCAGAGCGTCGCAGAGAGCTGGAGAGTATGCGTTCAACTTGGAAGGTCGATTCAGAGATACCTCGACGACGTGCGGCGAGGGCCGGGCCACGATCAGAAGTTCCGAATTCGCCATCGAGAAGTGCCCAAGGGCAAAATACTCAATCCTGATGACGAAGAGGTCATTTGAGCCTCGATGACGTATGGGTGGTGCGGGGGATGTGGACGAGACCAACATGCGCAGCGGATTGGAGGCCTGGGAGGCCAGGATGGTGGTGTACAGCTGGGCGAAATCGCTTCGCCACCAAAGGCGGCGTCATTCCAGACAGGGAGCGTCCTCGTTAAAGCACACCTCCCCCGTGGCCCCCTCCCTTGCGGGGAACGTGGGCGGAGGGAGGAAGAGAAGGAGGAGGCTTGGACTAGCAGATGCGAGGTGGCCCCCCCTTATGGAGATTCGGAAAGAGGTTGGCTGCCAGGCAGCGGGCGGGGCGACAAGGAGCGGGGGTTCCGCCACCGCCGAGCTGACCCCAGCAAGCGGACTGCGACGGTGGCCGCCCCGACTTCCTCCCTCCTCCTCCCGCTCGCCGTTGTTTTTTCCTCGGACCGACGACAATGCCGATGACAACCGATGACAACTCGAAACCACGGCGGAACTGTTAAATCTTTGTGTTCGCTCATCGTCGTTGTCGTCGCCGTCCTTCTCATCCTGCTCCGTCTGCTCCTCCCCCGGAAGTCCAATGGAATCACACAGAACCCCTGAGACCATGCTCCCTTGTCCGCATCCCCCCCCCTCGTCGCTCCCCATCCCCCGTTCTGCGAATACCTCGTGAGCAACTTGCGCGCACTTCGCTGAGCGGATTCTATGGCAATGTCAGCAGCACTCCACAGACGAGGCGGCACCGTGTGCTCCACTTTCGGCCACCAGACGACGATCACGATGTTAATGTTGATCGTGTGGTAATGAACGGGAAGTCTGGGGCGGTGGGATCTTCAAGGCGATACCCGACGTCAACGGCGAGACCTCTTGTCTGAAAATCCCGTCACCTTGTTAGAACTTTGACTGTGAGCCCATCGCATAAGAGACCGCGCGATGGCCAAACAAACGCCAAAAAGACGGAGTGGAGGGGATGGGGAGGGGACGAGGAATGGGATGGGGAAAGGGATGGGGAAGGGGACGCGGAAGTAGGGGCACATGGGAAGGAGGAGGGGCAAGGGCCCCACCGTGCACGCACACGGCCCATCATTGGGGTTGCGCGTGCGGCGGCCCCTCCTTCGGGAGGGGCCCGCGTGGGGACGCGCCGGCGGGGGCGCCTGGAGACTTAGGCGCATGGCAGGGTCCAGCTGCAGCACGCCCCGGACGATGTCCCTGGGCAGAAAGCAAGGGAGAGCGGGGAGGGAGTGACGGAGGTAGATGGAGAGGGGGAGACAAGGAGTAGGAACGGGGAGGGGGAGGAGGAGGAGGAGGAGGAGGAGGAGGAGGAGGAGGATGAGGAGGAGGAGGAGGAGGAGGAGGAGGAGGAGGCGGAGAAAAAACAAGGGTGAGATGGGGAAGGGATGGAGGAGCACCAGTGCGATGAGGGGTTCGATGTCTCACGTTACTCGTAAATCGCCGAGTTGCTGGTTTCCGCACCTATAGGGCTGGGCAGTGTTAGGCGGCGGAAAAAGCAACGAGCATTCGCTGCGCAGTGTGGCCTGCGCAGCGATCGCCACACCAAACTGCCGCGGGAGCTTGAGATGGACGGAGGGAAGGGAAGGAGATATTTCCTACGTCCCCGTGGGCGTCAAGAAACGTGCGGGGTCGCATGCGTGTCCACGCTCATCTCGCCCAGCGCTAGCCACGCCTTGCGGACCCAGCCTTCTTGCATGCCCCGGGGGCAACGGGAAGAGAGGCCGAGAGCTAGGGGGACGAAAAAGCGGGCAGGAGGACGGCCAGGAAGGGAAATGTCCTCGCGTCGCCGCTCGGCCGCCCTCCATCCTCCAGCCAGCCAACATCCGTGTAATATCGCGACACCTGGCATACAGGCGATCGGCTAAGCGGTGACACGCAACAACGGCTTGCGACCATTTCTTTTTTTTCCCCTCCTCAGGCACAGGCCGGGACATAGTTTATCCAAAGTTGTCTGCGCGGCTGCGTTGCTACGTCAACCACTGTTGCAGCGCAGAGGCGATCGCACCGCGACTCCAAGATCACCCAGGTCGCTGGGTCGCTACTGCGCCGGGCGCGCCCGCAAGACGCCCGCGCGCCCCGGGAACCCCAGCCGGTGGCAAGCTCAGCTCACATCCCTCCGCCGGGAAGCAATCTAAGGATAACTAGAGGGTCTGCCAGCGCAGGCCGGAATATAATTCACCCATTTTTGTCTGGATGGCTGTCTAGCTATGAAACCCGATGCCGGCCGCCGCCCGCCCGCGCTAAACGTAGCCCGGAGCGTTGCGGGAAATACAAACCGCGCTCGACTCAACAAAAAAAGAATCTCTCTTAACCCCCGTCGTCGCTGTCGAAGGCGACGCGGTCAACCGCGAACTCGCGTGGCTTGCCGTCCTGAAGGCAGGCGCCCAATAACAGTTTGCCCTTGCGAGTACCAATATCAGCTATCATTCCTCGACCTGATACGTTCTTATCTCGGCAGCACGTGGAAACCTCGACCAAAACCTTCACGCCGACGCTGGGGCTCGCCGCAGTCGACGTCGGAATTCGCGGCGCTCTTGTCCAAGTGGGGGTCATTCGTCTTGATGTCCGCTTCGTGGTCGTCGGTGGTGCGCGCCTCCTTGTCGGTAATCTGCTCGGTCTGCAAGGGGTCGGTCTTGCTGCTCGCGTCCACCGCGCATTCAGAGTTGCCGCGGGACCGAAAAGTCGCAGCATACTGGGAACGAGCGGCATGAGGAACGTGTTCAATCGCGAAGATCACGAAGAATACCTCCGCCAAGGCGGGCAGCATGCCTGCGACGAGACGTCAATTTTGAGACCTATTCTCGAAACCATCAACGCCGACCGAAAGTAGGAAACCGATTGCCGCGGTAGGGCGGGAAATTCTCACACCAGCCGCGCGGGTACGTATCCTCCAAACCCTCGCTCGGACTGCTGGAGCCCATGGGAGGCGGAGGCGACGCAGCACAAGCCATGAAATACTCCACAGCGAACCTCTGGAGCGCCCACTTTTTTTGCCAACGATGTCAGCCTCCGAGATGCCACGACATGCGTCAGATAGCACGCTAGAATCACGAGCCATGGCAACAGTGCGGAATACCATGCGGAACATGTGACGGAACCAACTCAAATTCGCAAATGACTTGAGCCGGAATGGCTACAGACGGCTTACGGCCCTTCCTTGGAAGACATGTGGAGCAGAAGAGACGACTGCGCCGAGGTCTGGCCATGCTGGAAAGATGCCCTCACCAATCAACATATGACCTGACAGCTTCAATATTCAGTTGCGACCGCAGCTTGGCCAAAAAACAATAAGAGTGGCATGTGGAGGCGAATCAACCGCAAATGATATCCGCACTCGCGCAGCAATGATTGCACAACAGCACACAGCCCAACAATTGTGTGATACAGAGGCGGCGTACAACTTGATGGTGCAAAGGCCCTTCGGACAAGCTGTGAAGAAAATCATACGGTATGCAAGCTGTTAGGTTAGAATAGGCGTCGGACAGCCGAAGTAGTAGGCGATTGGCATACTAAGATATCGACTTTTGAAGGAGGACGGCGCTTGAAACGAAATGCCAGAACGGAACGTCCAATAGTATATATCTCAACAAACGGCCTGCATTGAAATACACAACATCGTACCGAGAACCGCCAGCTGCCGTCCTCGTCGCACGCCCTCGTGGATATGGCCCGATCATCGAAAGGATCGGCGGCCCCGAGACATGGCAGAGGGGGTACTCTCGATCACTATGGCATGGCTCATGATTCGATCGAATCTTGATGTGGCCGCTGATTCGCACTGAAAGAAACAACGGAGTCCGCGCAACTCCAATCCTCCGATGGCCCATCCTACGTACGTAGGCCCCCAAAAAACTATCCCAGGGCCGCCTCCCATGCCC